GTAGGAGAGGTGTTCTCATTCTCTTGTACTACTTGTGTCATTTTTAAGGGTTGACAAATCAGAAATGTCTAGTTAGCTCCTATTTATGCAGTTTTCCCTAGGACATAAACCTCTTAGGGTAGGAGAGTTAGCTTCTCTTATTTTATTCTCCGGACCCTTTCTTCTTCTATGCCATCTGCCTGTCACCTGGCCACCTCCATAAAACAGGGTCGGTGAATTGACTGAGGGCAAGATTAGAGGAGATTAGAAGTTCAAATGTGCGTAAAGAGCATGTCCACTAATACCCTGCGATACAAATAAAAGGTATTATTATTACTTGCCCTAAGAGGCTTCTCAAGGGATCATGAAGAAACATCTTCCAAGATTCCAAGTCAGTGATGTCTTCAGATGCTTAGAAGGCAGTGGGCCTTTTAGGAACTCATGCGGGGCTTCCTTCTCCACTGGGTTGAAGCCATTTTTTCTGGATTTACTTATCCGAATCTCTTAAGTGCTCGACTTGATCGCAAAGTCAGACTACAGGGACTTAGGAAGAAATGAAAAGAAGCCAGATCAATTGAGCTCGTATTGTTCCTTGAATGCACATACCTGTGTGCGTATTTGGGTGTCCATGGATGTGCACGTCCGACCGTGACTAGTAGGAAAGAAAGTTTTAACATAAAGTTAATCTTCAGCAAAAAGGTGAATGAGTATTCAGATGTCTTGTACTGCCTTCGGTGAGACCCACTGCAGTGGAATTTTGTGTTCAATTAGCGCAACCAAAGCTTAAGAGTGTATTCTCTGAGTATAAAAAGACGGCTTTATTGAAGTTGACTCTGAGCCCACAGTAGGTGCATACTTTAAAATCTGGTTTGATGATCATGTTTCGTTGGATTGCCATTAGACAACAAAAGAATTTTGTTTTCTCACATACATTGGGCTGGACCAATTAGAATTGCAAAGTCTAAAATGAATTTGACATCATTAATTTGAAAACAAAACCAGGGAAGTTCTTTTTTTTTTTTTTTTTTTTTTAAGGCACGTGTATGCTACTTGAACTGGGAATAGCTTCTTCACATAGAATTTTAAGCATCTGAGATATTTTATTGTTCAAAGAAAAGTTGCTGACTTCACCACAACTCTAAGTGTAGTAAAAATGGAGCCCAGGATAGTAGACCAGTTCAGAGCTGAGGCAGAAACATGTAACCTCTGACCTCTGACTTTTACTGGAAAATGATATGCAGCATAAATCCATGGGGCCTTTTCTCTTTCAAGTGTGTATGTGATGGTGTTGCTGCCCACGGGGCTGGGGCTAAGGTGATGTCGGCACTTTCCACATGAAGCCCTATTTTCAGCTTCTTCCATGAGTTTTCAAAAAGGTGTAAAAGGAATCTAAGTTCTTCTTCCTGTACTCCAAAATTGCTACATGAGGTCATAGCCTCTTGTTTTATTTGTTTCTTTTTCTTTTTCATTTTTTGCTTTAAAATATATATAGATCGTCTAGGAACAGGCAGATAGCTTAGCTGCTGCTTTGAAGGCTTGCAAACTGCTGAAATGTACTTGAATTTAAAGTTGTAGCATATACGCTTTCTCAAACATAATCTGATAAAAGGATTTTGAGAGGGCAAAGGCCCTGTCCCAGTTCTTCCCCCGTGACCCGTCATAACAAGGAATGAGGAATTTTGCATGTTTCCTTTTCCTTCAACAGGTGTTCTCCAAAGGCCAATTTAATAATGAATTTGATTGTAACCAGGAGACATGTATCTTTCACATTACCTGAGTTTTTTACTTACATTGTTTCTCTTTTGTATTTTTTCATATAAGATCACCACCTAGTTCAGTTTTGTTTTTTTTTTTTAAGAATTTTCACATAAATGATATCATTTGAATGAGCTCAGTTGAACCTTTCTAAAACAATCCTGGCCCCATTTGACAGAAGAGGAAAATAAGGTACGGATGCGCTGAGCACTTTGGGGAGGTCCCGGTGCAGCATCAGACCCCAAATTTCAGTTTCCTGACTATTTGTCTAAGATTCTTCTCCTCATGCCCTCTTTCCCGGCTCTCCACTAAAGAACTAAGCCAACGACTCCCACCGTGATCCAAAAGAAGCTTTCTGTGTAGACTTCCCTCCCCCAACCCTTCTGCATCCCCCCCCCAAGCACCTTGAGAGCTGGGGTGCAGGGGGCCCTCCTTTGGTCTTACCTGCCTTTCTCTGTGGCTTCTCGTGGGCAGTGTGCTTTCTCCCCTACTAAAGGCAGAATGATGCCTGCGAGTGTTGCCGCCATTATGTCCGTGCATTTCCATGCCAACCATGACCCTTCTAAACCTGTTTTCATCCCTGAGACCTGTGGAGCTGGGTCTTTGTGCAGCCTTTGGATTAACTGTGCACCGTGGCTTTTCCATGTTTGCCCTGCCTGCCTTTTCTGGCAGCATAGACATGTAAGCTGTGCCAGCATTTGGCCCATAGTGCGTGTCCTAAATAGTTATTTACACAGTTTGAGTCCATTTTAGTCAACTGGATAAATAACAGCCCTCTTCAAAAGATTTATAAATCCATAAATATGTCTTTATACATACCCAATAGACAGAAATAACTCAATCTGTCAAGAACATATCCAAAGAGGTGGTTCCCCTACAGACAGGAGTAATACATATTTTAAAACTTTCTCTACTGTATTGTTTGTACTGTGTTTCTTTTTCCTCATTCCTTTTCATTTTTCACCACTTCATTATGGCACCTGTGGTACACACACGCAAAAAAAAAAAGAAAGAAAGAAATCCCTAGGCTCTAGTCCTCTGTTAAATAACCTTATCTGTGCATGACGTAGGCATACAACAGGCTGTGTCTCAACTGAGTCCTGTTCTTTTGGACTTTCAAAGTAAAAAAAAAAAAAAAAAAAAAGTCATTCAGGAAATGTGTAATGTTCTGACAGATTTCAAAATACAGTGACAATTCCTAGTTAGCCTTCCAGCAATTTGGGGGATTTTGAGTGCCTGATGACTTGCCAAATTAGCGGCTGTTGTGATTGATGGAATAGTTTTAGTCCAAATTTTTACCTAAGCGTAAAAATATAAAACAGAAAGTCCAATGCTGGGCATTCTAAAAAGAGTATATGCAAGATACATAATTAAGAAGATGCTAAAGATTCTTCTTCTTCTTCAGGGATTTAATGTTTATTCATGATTTACATCATACATCTTTCCCCCAACTCCAATTGTTTATCATGGTAACTTTTCCTGTGGCATCTACTTTCATTTAATATTAACACTTGTGGCCGTTTGCAGGAAATTGATTCTTTAATAGTGACGCTCCTTTAAGTTGGCATTGAAAAGGAAGGCCTGACATCTGTATTCGGTTGGGGGTTCTGCAGCTGTTGTTGCAACATTGATTCTGTGTAGTCCTTAACTTCCTCAAAGCACTTCCAAAGCTATGAGATTGAATCCCGATTTTATCCCTGTCTATTATTTGCCCCTTTCCCATTTCAGAAGAGAAAAAAGTAAGCTCAGAAATACTGAAGAAACTCTTGGAGGCAGCTCTGGGATCTTGTCTCTTGGCTGTGCTTTGTAACTACTTTCGGATGGGGTGTTCTCACGAACCCAGGCAGCGTCTCATAAATGAGATGAGGTACACATGGGCAGATACGTGACCCTTTCGTGTGTCTTTTTTATCCTACCGTGTACGGCTGCCCTACTGACCAGATCCAGGGTCTACTCGAGGAAGCAGGTGGCTTGGAGCCAGGGAACACCAAGCACATCTGGTGCCTTTCCCCACCGTATTTGAACTCTTTCCCAGGACGGTTGCTGCAGTCACTCTGCGACTCACAAGCAGCTTTAGCGATGACTGACCGCAGTTTGCGTTTGGGCGCGTCTTCCTTTTTTTTTTGTTTTTGTTTTTGGTTCAACGTCAAGAGAGACGAGTATATGATAGTAATAAAATAAAACAGTAACATATTAAGGGCTGTCAGTCAGTGTAGGTATTTCCCTCCCTCACTGTGTGACGATCACAAAGGTTTAGCGAGGCTAGGAGACTTGCCCAGAGTCACATATGGGTCCGTAGCAGAGTCAGGACCCGAACCCATACGGTGTGACTCCAGAGCCAAGCTCCTAACGCCTGTGTCCTCCAGGGCTTTCGTGTGGCGAGGAACGGAAAACAGATCGCTGATGGACACTCCTTCTGTTACCAAGTTGGGGTCTCTTCTTCCTGTGTCTGTACGGGGCCTGGCTCTGCCTCTGCAAGGGTGAGGGAGCCGGGAATAGGCCAGAATCCACGTTAGCCTCAGGGGGGGTTATACTCCGCTGGGGAGTGAGAATCTGGTTTCTTGTGTTTGGTAGAATGATTGAGATGTTTACAGAGGAGCATGATGATTGATATGATTAATTTGCATCGAGAGCCTGTATCATTTTGCTCATTCCAAGATTTGTTGAATTGAGAATAGGAGCATAAAAAACAAACGAGGCCCTTTCTCTTGCAGAGCACTTCCTACTTAAAGCTCGTCTCATTTTCCTCTTTTGTGAGGAAAAAGAAAAAGTATTATTTCGATGTGGAAATTTGATGTGAAACATGGCAACTCTAAAGGGCTTTATTGATTGCTGAAGCCTCTAAAACCCACTTCTGAACTTCTCCTTTTGGGGCCAGGACTCAGTTCAACAATAGTATCTTTGCATGTTTCTTTAAAGAGGAACAATTGAAAAGCACTGCTATTTCTTTATACTAATGTGTCAATAGTCGCAATGCCTCCCAGTGTCCCCTCCACCCCCCCCCCCCCGCCCCCCGCCCAGCTTTTGTCAGAGTTCAGGCAACCTATAGGCGGAAGGCAATCCCATTTGTTATTGAAGGGAATGTGAAGGCAGTTGTTTCAAGCTTGCGAGGCCAGCAGGCAGAGCCGGCTGGGAGGGGGCGGGGAGCAGGGAGAGGGGCGGCGGGGAAGGGCCCCGTTACGTTCCAGATGACTAAGCAACGATTTATATACCAGCTCGCCTTTTTACATGAAGAAGAAAAGTAATAACAGCCCAAAGCCGGGCAT